AAGACAGCATTTAGTCTTCGGAAAAGCACTGCGGTATTACCAAATTAAAGAAGGAGTAGACATTTGTTGCGCGGAAAGCGTGCGGCAGCATGTGATAAAAATAATGGCATGTTGTATCAGAGAGCCCATCAATCACCTGAGCAACAGAAGAAAAAAACGCATCGTGTGGGTGCCCTGTATACAACTGCTATCAATATTTGTCTGTGGCAGTGAAACCAACTCATTTCATTTGGTTTCTGTTTCTTGAGTAGGGGAGCTTACACTGTACACAATGAAGAAACTTCGGAATGAAATGTGCCTAAGGATAAACACACCTTCGCACAATAAAATACCCTTCCAATAAAGATTCTCAAGGAAATGAAGCGCTGTCTTTTGCTCTGCGTTTTTAAAATACAGAACCTGCTATTGCGACCTTCGCCTTCGTGGAGAAAAGCCACAGAGCTCATGATAAACTGAATGAACTTGACTGTTGAAAAGATCAGAACTTTAAAGCTTAGAGATGATTTCAAACGGACCGTTATAATCAGGGCAGCACGCTGGCAGGGAATCTAGCGCAGCTGCTTCGGAGCTTTGGGGTCCTGGGTTTGCTTTCGGCCTGGGGCACCTTCTGAGTGAACTCTGCATGTTCTCGCAGTGTCCAGGTGGGTTTTCTCCAGCTGCTCCAGGTGCAAAGACATGCTGTCCTGGTTAATCGGCACCTCTAAGTGACTCCCCGCATGCAGACGTGAGTGAATGCCTACCCATGCGATGGACTGCCGTCCAGTACAGAGAATCTAGCTGCCTTAGGCCCTGAGCCTGCCAGGTTAAGCTTAAGCTTCACTAGGACCCTCTAAAGATAAAGCAGTTACTGAAAATGGATGCCTGAAACATTACCATTTTCCTAAAATAAAAGACATCAAGCTCAGGAGCTCTTTTCTAAACTTTTCTAACAAATGCACTTGTGGAAACGGGGGAAAAAGCAAACCACGAGTGAGGTTTATAAAAAAATATTGGACTGATAAAGAAAAACAGGTCTGTATTTTAAACCTTTATGCAAGAAACCTCAAGCTAAACCCTCCCTGGTCCTCATTTACTAATTTCGTTTTTACTTTAAGGCAAAAGCTGATCTTGAAAGAAAAACAGACATACTTTTCGATGCTTTCCAACTATCTAATAACAAAAATATTTCTTATTGACTGATTCTGAATCTTCACTTACAGAGAAACAATCAGGTGCAGTATGTACTATGATCCTTCTTGAGCACTTCTTTAAAGCAAACTTTCACCTCGGTGTATGTCAGTACCACCAGGGTATGGTGGGTATTAACAAAAAAAACCTGCCAGGCTTGCAAAGTGCAGCAAATTATTAAAAGAATAGCAACCCTGCACGTGTGCTTAATAACTCGTCGAATATCAAACAAGGAAGATCAATAGAAGCTGTATCTGCAGAGACAGGGTCTGCTGTAGGAACAGCGGGTGCCCCGTGTTCAAGGTAAATGTTAAGAATATTGGAAAGTGGGGAAAAAAATAAACCTTAAACCTTAATAAACCAAAGTAGTCCCAGGTCCATTAAAATCCAGGGGTGACCTTTTCAAAGCCATTTCTCTGTAACAAACCACCTGGACCTGCAGGGAAGTGTGCAGCCTTTCTACCTCACTTAAGGGGATTTCCAGGCATATAATTAGCCTCTGGGGTCTCCTCTTGTACCCGCATACTCTTGGAGCTCATGTTTCATTCAGCAGCTGGGGCTGAGGAGGCTCCTGCTCTTTGCTACTAAACTCGGTGGGGTTCGAAGGTCAGGAGGCCACCCTAAGAGTATGGCTCCATCAAGAGTATGGCTCCATCCTTTCTACGAGAGGCAGCGTGGGTAGGCTTTCAGGTTTAAATTCGGCTCCCGAGTTACTCTTGCTCCTCCTTCTGTTAAATGATATTCACATGACTCTTCTGCAGCGCACTCATGTACGGTAAAGGCTCTTAAGCTACTGTCCGCTGTGAAGCAACAGTAGGTCAGCCCTGATAATAGAAAGCCCCATTTACTTACCTAGTTTAAGTAAAAGGCAGACCAGGCTACCTAAAGTATTGTGTATAGCACCTCATTCTGAGTGTGCGGTGTGATTAGCTTTACACCTCGCACGGATTTACTAAAAGTTCAGAGGAAACAATGAGTGTTGTTTTTTTCTGGGGGTCTTAAAACCTATTGGATCCTAAACAATATTCTATAGCTGCCGGATTGAATGGCCGCGCGGCCTGGAGTGAATCCC